ACGCTATGACTCAAAATAGTTTCTTTTTAAAATCCTTATTTTTTTAAAGATCATGTTTTAATAATGACATTACCTGGTACCGTAATCCACAACCACCCAATCTTTTGCAGTTCCTGTGATGGCATCATGATGCTGAAACAGTCCCAGATTCCTCCTGGCTTCTGTCAGTGCCACATAATGTGATGATGAAATAAATTTGTTTATCTTGTATTTCTGAGCTTGTCTCATGGCGAAATAGTAAAGAATTTCAGCAGCCCTAGTAGCACAAAACAGTCATTAATTTTCATTTTAAAGCAAACATTTTAAACTCTACTGTCTAAAGTATGTGACATTGGCACTTTTATAAATGGTATTTATTTAAATCTGCAATTTTAGTACAATCTGACAAGTATACCAGTAATAAACATGTCCATATACTATTCAAGTATATGTTGGGAATTGAATTCTGTATAACTCCTAAGAGGTAATTCCAATTGGAAACAGGGCTTTCTTAGTTATGCTAATGAAGACTCTGACAGTTCACTTCTGAGCTAGAACAGGAACAAACTGGACTCAGAAGTAAGCACAAGCAAGAGTAGAAAAAGACAGATGTCACACAAAGATCTCCAAGAAAAGCCAAAAACGCGAGAAAGTTGAGACAAACGTTTTCCCCAGAAGGATTAGAGAAGGCCTTCCCCTTGATCTAGCACCTTGACTTCAAACTTCTACTTTCCTGAACTGTGAAAAAATTAATTTCTGTTAATTAAAGCCACCCACTTTTGGTATTGCCATTATAAAAGCCCCAAGACAATAAGATTAAACCAAAAACCAAACTCACTGCCACTGAATGGATTCTGACTTATAGCATCTCAACAGGGCAGGGTAGAACTGCCCCTGTTGATTCTTAAGACTCTAAATCTTTATGGAAGTACAAAGCCTAGTCTTCCTCCTGTGGAAGTGACTAGAGATTTTAAACTGGTGACCTACTGTTAAGCAGCTCAAAGCATAACCACTATGCCACCAGAGTTCCTTGACAATAAGGCAGTAAACATCATTTAATGCATCTAAATCAGTGGTTCCCAACCTTCCCAAAGCTGCAACCTTTAATACACTTCCTCATGTTGTGGTAACCCCCAACCATAAAATTATCTTCGTTGCTACTTCATAACTGCAATTTTGCTACTATTATGAATCGGGCGACCCTTGTGAAAGGGTCATTTGACCCCCAAAGGGTCACGACCCACAAATTGATAACTGCTGATCTAAATTCTCAATTGTCAAAGGACACCACATCTGTACCGATATTCGTACCAATATGTGTTGATGGCTCTTGTTCCAGATGATGCTTAAGAGAATCAGACCAGTGAGCAGAAAGATAGTCAGCAGCAAGACCTGGAAAATCCTCTCTTTTGCTTCAGCAACAGTGTAGACATATGCCATGAACATTAGCAGATAAGCATCAACTTCCACGTATTAAGAGACATGGTGGAGACTGCAAAATCATGGGAGTGGAAGGCTCAGAGTCCAAGCATGCCAAGAAACACTGATCCCGTAGCTTAGTAACTAGTGTAGGAATAATTACTGAATGATAACAGACAACTATAAAGAACTCGATTTAAAAGTTTTAAACTTAGGTTAAATGGCGTTAAGTAGTGAAAGGTGAGCATCAGGGTTGTATCCTCTCATCATACTTACTCAATCTGTATGCTGAGCAAATCATCAGAGAAGCTGTACTGTATGAAGGATGTGAAATCCAGATTAGAAAAAGGCTTATTAACAACCTGCAATACGCAAATGACACAACCTTTTGCTTGCTGAATATGAAGAGGACTTGAAGCACTTGCTGATGAAGATCAACGACTGCAGCCTTCAGTGTGTATTACAATTCAATGTAAAGCAAACCACAATCCTCACAACCAGACCACTGGGTAGCATCATGATAAATGGAGAAGATTAAAGTTGTCAAGGATTTCGTCTTGTTTGGGATCCATAATCACTGCTCATGGAAGCAGACGTCAAGAGATGAAAAGATGTTTTGTGTTGCTTTAGATAAATCAGCTGCACAAGATCTCTATCTATAGAGTATTGAAAAGCAAAAATGTTATTTTGAAGACTAAGATGTGCCTGACACAAAACTACTCATGTGAAAGAAAGTTGAACACACAATAC